ACTACTGACCCACATCCCTAGTTCCTCAAAGTACTTTTAAAGTAGCAACCGTGGGCTTGGTGTTGGAACACTGAATGCAATAAATAAATCATCCTGAACAACTCTGTAAAGATAATTTTTTTTTAAAGTCATAACAAATACAACATTGAATTTGACAGTGATTTCTTGAACATGACACCAATCACAGATGAACAAAAGTAAAAACAGATCAACTGTACTACATAAAAATGAAAACCTTTGGGCATCAAAAGATATACTCTACCACGTGTAAAAGGTACAAAATAGAAGATATTTTTACATCACAGATCTGCTGAGAAAGGGTTAATATCCAGATAACACAAAGAAGGCACCCAAATTAAAAATATGCAAAACATACACTATCATAACCAATAAGCATATGAAAAGACAGCCAAATCATTTTTAAGGAAACACAAATTAAACCACAGGTGAAATACAGTGCATTGGTGAGGAGGTAGAGATTGGAATCCTGGCAAACTTAAACATAAGATGTAAGAGCACACAACTAAGGAAAACAGTACAGTGGTTATTTGAGAAAAACAAACTAGACACAAAGAACTACATCAAGACCCAACAATCCCACTTGCGGGCACATCCCCGAGAACTGCAAGCAGAATCTCTAACAGGATTTGAACACTCGCATTCACAGTGACATTAGCCACTCTGGGAGTGGAAGCAGTTCAAGTACTTGTTGAGAGACCACTGACAGACATGTGGTATTACACACCTTGGGGGAGCCCAGCACTTCTCAAAAGAATGAGCATTTGACATGTCACAATACAGACGACACATGGGGACATTATGCCAAGTGAGACAAGCCTGTCATCAAAAGACTAATATTGTCATGGCACTGCCGGGAGGCGCCAAGAGGCCTCATGGACAGACATTTAGGAAGGCGGCTGTGGGGGTTGAAGGGAAGGGGGGAGTTCAACGGATGGCGAGTTTCAGTTTTGCAAAATGAAGTTCTCGAGCTCGGTGGCACACAATGTACGTTTAGCCCTACTGAACTGCACACTTGAAAATGGCTCAGTGCTAAATTTTATGCTGTATCCTTTACCACAGTTTTTCCAAAAGTTGTCATAAAAACGATGTTAATAACTTTGGAGGAAACAGGAGATACTCACGAGGAGGTGTGCAGGCCTCTGGCGAGTCTGTGAGCCCGGCACAGACCAGGCAGTGCCGGGGTACGATGCTCACAGCAGCAGGATCCGCACTCAGCGTCGGCGGGGGGGGTCACGCTCTCCGGAGCACACGCACAGCGGGTAAAGCCATCAGTCCTCTGTCTCTGGCGCCACAGACCCCTGGAGCTCGCTTACGGTTTTCACAGACAAACATACGCAGCTTCAGAACCTTCGCAGGCCACGGGGTGCTCAGAGGAGAACGAATCATCATGAGAAAAAGCCAGGACAATGCATCTGTGCTCTGTGCTACAAGGATGAATGTAAACTCGGGAACAGACCAGAAGGAGCACACGGTGACACTAAAGCAGCACCCAGGCCGGGCAAGCAGGCAGCAGAAGGATCTAGAAGGGGCTGTGGGGAGGGTCACGCTCATGCATCATTTCCCTTCACACGGCTCTGCCTGAGTCCATGTGTTAGAGATCTGTCCACTTACACCTGCCCCCAAGATGTGTGGGGCAGCTCCCTAGTGGCTCTGGAGGACACCCAGGGTCACACCTGGCAGTACTCAGAAGGCTCCATGTGCCAGAGATCAAACCCAGGACCTTGAGCATGCCAGCCCATGTTCCAGCCTTTGCCCCTGCACCTGCCTGTGGCTGTCCCTTCCCCTGGGTGGCCACTGAATCCAACAAAGGGGCTCCGAGTCACAGAGGAGCGATGACCAGGCGATTAAGAGACCTTTGTACCGAGGGTCCCACTCACAGCCAGCGTGTAACTCACCATCCAGTCACCGGGAGGGTGGCAGTTCCCCTTGCCAAGACAGTAACACTCGTTTGGGTTACAAGTTTAACTGTGGAAAGTGTTGCAGGAAAATAAAGACTGAGGTTTGCACATTCCTGTGGGGAGACCCAAGTTGATCACTGGACGCAGAAACCGTCATGTCTGCGGCACAAACGGAATTGACAGAGCAGGGCAAGATTTACATCACACAGAACCAAGAGCTATTCATACCCTTGATGCAGAATTCCCATAACTAAACCACTGGTAACAAAAACAAGTCAGAAGTACAAAGTCAGCCCCCCTCCAAACAGTTGTCAGATCCGGCCAACGAGCAGGGTTTGAGGAAAAGGGGAGACACACTAAGATTCAGTTTACTAGCGACAATGTGGATTTAAATTGGGGGGACGAGGAGGGTGGGGGGGGCTGGGGCCACAACCAGCAATACCTGGGCCACCTTGCAAGCCCAGGGATCGAACTGGGGTTGACCACATCTGAAGCAAGCACCCTAACCTCTGTGCTATTTCTTTGGCTGTACAGCACATGTTAAGTTCCTCCCTTCCCGACAGTGCATCAGTCTGAGCAGATTTTTTTTCCCCCAGCACGTGCTTTGCCCGCAGAGCCTAAAGTTCAGTCCTTAGCGGCAAAGTCAGGAGTAACACCCCCAACCCGCACCCCCTCCGTACCGGGTGTGGCGCAAATGCAAATAAAACCTCCTTTTCCAAGGTACTTAGGAATATGAGCCTACCTCCTTAAGAAGCTAAATGTCCGGGGTCCAGGGAGAGGGAACGGATTAGGGATTCTGGTTCAATTCACAGCACCGCAGAACCCGGCCCAGGATTGCCCAGATACAGCCCTGGGGGGCCCCAGCACCAACAGCTGTGGCCCTGACTCTCCCTTCAAAAACCTAAATATAAATATTTAAGTATTTGCACACGTAGAAGCATTTGTGTCTCCCCATGACAAAATATCAGTGTGATCATTTGAATGGCAAGAAAGGTCATCACAGAACTGCAGGCTAAGAGAAAACCCAGCTGGAAAATAACAGTCACATAAACAAGACAGTTTATATTAACACGGCGAAAGAATGACTTGAGTGTCACCATCACAGAAGTTGGCAGGGAAAGTCCCATGAGTCACAGAAAATAGTATAAGCCACTCTGTCTACAGAGGCATATACCCTCTTTATGGGAGTTAAAGCTCAAAGCTGATCTGTCAGAGGCCATTCGTGGAAGATTACAGAGAATTTTGTTTCTTTCCATTTTTTTCCTGGCAAACCTTCAAACAGGCCCTTGGTACACAGCACTGGCTGTTACGGAGGGGAGGCGGAGCGGTGGCTGTGGGCACCTGGGCCCCGTTTACCCAGCAGGCAAGCAGTGCCCGTACCAGGAGGAAGGTCAAGGCCACCACAAAGGCCTTTGGGTTATTTTGCTGTCTTCCCCTTGCTATCGAGACTGCATCAATTTATTTTTGTATGTGAAATAAGACTAAACACACATATCTCGTATCACACTCTGATAGGCACGGTTTCAGGGTGTGTGTGCGTGCGCGCACACACACACACAGAGCTTTGGACTGTAAGGTAGGTAGGAGTCCGTTCATGGCCTTGTCAGCAAGATACACCAGGGCAGCCGGCGGGGTGGCGTTACAGGCCTTCTGGAAACCCAGGTCATGACTTACTCAGGGCTTCTGAAAAGATTTCCAAGTCAGCTGTTGCTCTTCTTTTGCCACATTTCTTTTACTTCCTGACACTGTTTCTACATCCTGGGTCCCTGGCAGCTCAGGAAAGCCAGACGCCCACCGCAGGAGACCTTGTGACACACACATGCGCTCTTGTGAGTGTCATGAGGAAAACACACCAGGGGTCACCAGCTAAAGTGCCTGGGGATGGAGGCAGGTGGGTGTGACCTCAGCCTCCCATGCCAGCTCCACTTCACAACAACAACCTGAGCGACTTGCTAATAACAGATCTAGCAAGGAAACTCGGAGGGTACAGAAATCACCCTCAAGGCTGGGAGCAAGTTCTGCAAACACTGCATCAAAAGCAAGAGAAACAAGTTCTTCAAGGAAGGCCAAGCTCAGGAGGCCCAGACTGCACGGGTGACTGCACGCACAGTGGCCCACTCTTGGCACACTGCAGGGCAGGCCATGGGTGGGTACCGACCCTTCCTCTTCCCAAGCTAATTTTCAGCATACCAGAAGGCTCACAGGGACTGGTGGAAGTACAAGGGGATCGCAGAACAGGAACGGCATCTGGTTAGTGGGTAGAGGCTTGCCTCGCATGGGGCTGACCCAGGTTTGATCCTCGGCTCCTGTATATTCCCGAGCCCACCAAGGAGTGGGTGTGCCTTCGACAACATGATATCCAGCCCTGCAGCTGCTGTTCCCTTTTTACTCTGCCTGCCCCACCTGCTCCTGAGCTGGCAGGAGCCTCGAGCTAGTCTGTCTAGGATTAGTTTCTGGGATCACAGACTGCAGCCACCTCCCTCCCAACATAGTAACAACCGTGGCGATGCAATTTTGGATTCCAGAAGCCCCCAACAAGCCCTTTTCGTAGTTCTAGTCTGCTTGGCATGGCACAGTAAAGCCCAGACTTCCATAATTAATAGAAAAAGCTCCGTAGACAAAGTCTAATGACACAGAAATCACGTGCTTAGACCCAAAACCGATATAGCCCCCAACAGTACACCGGGTGAATACATTCCATCTCTGTGCTCATTTCCACAGCTTCCCCCAAAGTCAGCCAATAAACAGAGGTCTTTCACTTGATTGTTTGGAAATCTTAGCTAGGTCAAAGTTCAGGTTCCACATTACACAGTACTTGCCCACCAATGTGCTGTCCCCGTCATCAGCTGGGCAGTTCAGGTTGGTTAGGAGAACAAAAGCACCCCCTTTGTCAGCCATGAAAGGAAGTGGAGCCCCTCCCCACACGCTAGTTTTATCACTCTATGATTATCATCTCAGAGCTACTAAAATGATTCGAGGCATAAATCTGCAACAGGAAGAGGTAATAACCCCATCACGAAGGCAATTTACAGAAAAGTGTATACAAAGATTGAAAAACATAACATAGCAATACAACAATGATAATGAGAGCTCAAACCTTTATTTGTGCTGTGAAGGGGAAGGAAATGATTAGTAATCACATACATGATGCAACAGTACAGGTTCCCATCATACAGAGCAACATACAAGTATTTTTACCGCCCGTGTTTACGCTCAAAGTTGCATTTCACAAGGGCACGGGGACCTTTCCCCACACAGCATGACTAATACTGCTGAAACGCCCTTGCAAAGTCATCATCCCCAGGTCATGGTGAGGCATTTCCAGATAACATATCTTAAAATAAATGTTTAGAACCAAACAAAACCCCAAAAGCAATCGGCTCATTAACAAAGTTTAAGTACAATCCCAGCTTATCAGTGATATTCCGGTACTAATTCATTAGACTCCTCAGAAACAAGTACTCCCATTAAACATTTTCAGATTTTTGAAACAAATACTCGTATTAGGCAGTTTGAAATTTTCCCGAAGTTTTACAAACAGAACAGATTCAGAAAAGGCACTCCACCCATCCTCAATTTGCTTATTTCCCAAACGGATTTTGGCAGACAGATGTTCTCTAATATTGCATCATTTAAAGCATGTTCGAGCTAAAGAAATAGCCAGTCTTAGCAAGAGAGTATGGACTGCTTGCTACCAAATTATTAGTCATTTTATAGAGGCCATAAAAGCTTATTTGCTGCTCCTTGTTACAATGACTATCAGCAATAAACAAAAACTTGGCTATAATCCGTGCTGACCAACGCCCAGATGTTTTTAAGACCCAACGCATCACATGAAATTACTTGTTAGTCATACATATGGCTCAGAATCTCAGTCACAATCTCAAGCTAATAAAGATGAGTCAAAAGCTCAGAAGAGTGCGCCTCATCGAAAGAGCACCCTAAGAGTGCAAACTACATACTGTCAGAGCCCACAATTTGGGTGCAATCTGACCCCGTGCAACTTCAGATGAAGCACAGGGGTTCAGTCCAGCGAATGGCGTTTACTGGGGCGCAAGTTTCTGACACCCCCTCAAGAAACTGACAGAGATTTTCAGTTACACCTAATCAGTCTCTTCCGCCTTGCAGCAAAGCAATTTTGCTTTCCGCCCTGCATTTAGCAGGGTTCTAAGCACTCAGCTTCTGATTAAGCTCTGTGAATCCATGCTGGAATTTGACTATTAACAATGACCAGCATCAACTTCTCTCTTGTCCATCAGCTCCAGTTTGCCCTAACTGAACTTTTCTCCAATTCCTGTTAAGCCTCCCCAACCACCCCACCCTCCGCCGTGAATCTTCACCCCATGCCCTCCCAGTACCAAGTTGTTCCTTCTTCCACCCTATAGAATCTTCACCGCGCCATCTTCCCGTTCAAACAACGATGGCTGAGATCTAATCAAGTAAAATTCAGGCTTCAAAAAGCAAGAGATGAACCCAAGCCCAGCGACACCCCGAGCATTCGCCCTGATCTGGAGAGGGCCGGAAGTGCCCGCCCAAGACCGCCATTTCTTCCTGTAGTTTTTGGCGGCAGCTGTTTTACAGCCACACCCAGCATTGCTGGGGTGAACCGGTTGGTGCCTGGGATCAACCCCTGGTGGCCCAATATACAAAATAAGCTCTACCCTTCAAGCTCATTTTCTCCCGCCCTGACCTTCCATCGCTAACAATTTGGACATCGACTACCTAGCAACACTACCCTGTTCCCATTTGCAAATCACACGAGCCTCTGCCTCAGGCACCCCAAACCCCATCCCTGTCCCATCACATCAACTGTATGGTGACACTAATCGTTCCTCTGCGGGCGCCGTGGATGAGAAAGGATCACTGGGCTCCACCGCAATCTCCATCTACCATTCATGCAGCTCGGGGTGGTGTCATCAAGGTTAAATGTCCTACAGCTGCAGAATCTTCTAGGAAGCTGTCGGTAGCACAGAACTAGGATAGGAGGCTCAACTTAGAAGACGCAGCATCTGAAAACCTCCACCCCAGAAAGGGCGGTGGGGGCTGCTGGCATCAGACGCCCAGAGGGTGGTGCTCCTGGATCATTCAACACACATCTGCTGCAGCGGCCTTCCACGACTGCCCCTCAAAGCCCATCTGCAAACTTTCAATGGCGCCCTCCTGAAAACTGCCAGGCCTGGAAACCGGACCGTGGAGAACTTCCTCCTAAGCCTCTGGGTTGCAACGTGCAGGCAGCAACTTAGGCCGGCGCTCTGCTCCTGGGACTCCCCTCCTGCACTGCTACGACTCATACGGGCCAGGGCCTCCACTGTCTCCTGGTGCCATCGGGTCGCTGGGATGAGCACTATGGTAACAAACCACGTCCATGAAGCATTTTGGTAACTTCTGGGGCCACCATCTGCGGTGACCCACCCAACAACCCCCACCCCCCTGGCTCCCCGTGCCAGTCTCAGCTCGCCGTCACCGTTACCAACAGCGCTGACTCCAACAGCGTCCTGGACGGCTTTCCCAGCTTACCAGTGACCAGAGCAAGGTTAAAGTGAAGGGCTAGAGGGAGGAGGGGCAGAGGGGGTCACAGGAGAGGCTAAACAGGCACCCAGAGCGTCCCGACATGGGGGGAAACACTGCCACCTGGAAAATAAAGTTGGGTCAATTGTGGCCACAAACACACTAGGTGCCACACTGGCCACCACCCCGCTTCCAACCGGGGTGCGGGCTCCCCAGCCTCAGCGGCTTCCACCGGGCCGGGTGTGGCCAAGCAAACCTTACATACCACCTAAGACCAGAGCACTCAGCCCGCGAGGCCAAGCTGTTTCCAGGCCGCGTCGCCAGGCGAGCTCACGACCCTCGGTCTGCAAAAAAAGGGGGCTGCTGGTCTCCCCAAGGCTAAAGTCTGCCCCCCAAGCCCGGCCCAACACCCCACTGCAGGGGATCAACCGCCAAGCTGTCTCGTCTCCATCTGGGGTGCGGAGAACCTCGGGTTCTCCCTGCCTCGCTGCGTCCACACGCCAGGGCGCTGAGGGTTCGGCGGGTTCACGTCGGGGTGACGCCCTCCCAGAAGCCAAGAGCCCCATCTTCGGCGGGGCAAGAGGCCACGCGCCTCCCGGGTTCCTGCGGGCAAGTCCACGCAGCTTTACCCAGACAAGCCCCCAGGTCTAGTCTCTCTCCTACCCTTCCTCCCCCAGGCCCCCCACTCCCCCTGATCAAACCCCCCATCAGTCCTCTGAGTCCCTAAACTGGCCCTCTCCGCCCGGTCCAGCTAAGCCCAGCGCGCAGAGTCCCTCCCTGTCGCTAACTCCTGGGGCCAGCCCGGGGCCAACTTTGGCTTTTATAGCCTGGGCCGCATCACTCAGGGCATGACTCAGCGGGGCCGATTCCTCCACTGCCACCGGAAAATAAGTCCCTCCCACTCCCGGGCGGGTTCTGCTTCAGGGTGGGGGGAGGGGGTGTCCGCCCCCTTCCCCCCTTGGCCAGATCGAGGTCAGATCTCAAGGTCACGCTTGGTGGGGGGGTGGATTCCACGGCGAGGCGCCCCTGTTCCTCCGGGGTGGGGTGCAGGGAGGGATTCCTATCATGGGGGAAGTGGACTGTGTGGAGGAGCCCAGACTGGCACCACCTTGGCGAGGGGGCGGCGAAGGACCCGTCCTAGTCGCTTCGGGTCACCCCGCCCTGCAGAGGGCAGGAAGAAGGGCCGGCGAAAGGTCTGGAAAATTCCAGGCGGTGGCGGAGGGATCTCTGCAGAGGGCGCGTCACTGGGCGGAGGCCGCGGGCGGCGGCGGCAGCGCGTGACTGCGCGCGGCTCGGCCACGTGAGGGCGGTGACGTCAGCGGCGGGCGGGGCCGCGCTCTCGCCCCCACCCCGGGCGCGCGCTCTGCGGGTCTTAGATTGTTTGGTTTGGGGGCCACACCCTGCGTACCCTGAGGATTGAGTCCTGGGCGTTGAGCCCGGGGCACCTGGTTGCGAGGTTCCAGCCCCGAGGTGGACGTTGGGAAGGGCCGGGAGCAGGGGTTAAGCCCCTGTCCCTGAGCGCGCCCGCGGCTTGGTTCTCCCGGGGGCCTCGGGGATTTCAGTGGGTAACCAGCCCCGCTGGACCAGAGTACGGAAGGAAGAAGGGGCGAGCGTGCAGTGTCCAGTGAGACGCGAGGGTCTCTAGAAATCCTCTCATTGCTAGCCCACAAGGCCAAAGGGCAGACTTGGGGGATGGGGTGGGGTGATTTTTTTTTTCTTTTTTCATAGCTTCCTTTGTTAAGGCAGTTTGCAGCCTGTGAGGGCCTCTAGGACCCCTCCCCCCTTTAATGACTTGGCGGGCTGATGAAGAATTGTTTGCTTTTAGGTAACCCACACGCCCGCCCACCCCACCCCCATCCCGGGTGCTCAGGGGCTATTCCTAGCACTGGGGCCCGAGGGTCACTCCTGATGAAGGACCTTGCTCTCAGAGTCCGAGGAGGAGGTGTTTGGGGTACTCTGGGCTCCCCCTGTTGGAGCTGCTTTCTGCAAGGCCAGTGACTTAACCCTGTGCTCACCGCACTGCTCGATGTAGAAAAACTTTTGAAAAGCCGAGTTGGAAGGAAAATCATTTAAGAGAAAAGCAGATTTGGGCTCTGTCGTGTGGGTATAATGCCAGGCAGGGTGGGTGGAACATGAGACATGAGACCCCGCTGCTGGGGGCCCTAAGGAAGCGAGTGGGGGAAGGACTTGGAGTGAGTCAGCAGGACTGAGGTTGGCACCGTGCCACCTCCCTGCCAGGAAGTCTCTTCCCAGGTAGCCACCCACTCACACCCTTGATAAAACTGCTTGTGTCAACAGGCTCCCTTGGCAACGACGGAAACTGGGCGTCTGTTTTCCCTGCCTGGGCAGGATGGCATCTGGGGGCGGCCTGGGCCACACCCTGCCCCTGCGGTTCTCGGAAAACAGATGACGTGGTGGATCCAGCACAGGCCCGGGCTTGTCCACGGCCGGCAGCTGCCCAGCCAGGCCCTAAAGCCCCAGAAAGCTCCCCCTCCCCCCAGGGGTCTTGTCCTGGTGGCATTTCCTGCTGTGGGCTGGGGACCGTGTGACCTGAACACTGTCGAATTGTTCCACAATGAGGGAATTGTCTATGGAAGGTTCTAGAAAGCTGGGAGGTGTCTGATATCCAACCAGTGCCTTCCCTTCTCTAGCAGGTCAGACCTGTGGTCAGCTGTTAACTTTTTCCAAAAAAAAAAAAAAAAAAACATGTTTTTCTTTTGGGTGGAAGGTTGGGCCACACCCTGCAGTGCTCAGAGCTCACTCCTCTGCTATGCTCAGGGGACATTCCTGACAATGCTGGGACCATACATGGTACCAGAGATTGAGCCAGGGTCAGCCTTAGTGCATGGCAAGCCTTTCTCAGGCAAAACGGGGCTCTAAGTTGAAAGCTTATTTACCAGGTGCCTGAGAGGTGAAAATTGCTGCTTTTCTCCCTTTGTCCCAGACCTTCATCCCCAAATCCCAGGATTTTAAGTTTTATATTTCAAAAGATGGGGCTAGGGGAGCAGGAAAGATAATACAGTGGGTAGGGCACATGCCTTGCATGTCGTTGACCCAGGTTTGACCCCCAGCGTCCCATATGGTCTCCTGAGCACCACCAGGAGTTGTTTCTGAGTGCAGAGCTAGGAGTAACCCCTGAGTGTCTTCAGGTGTGACCCAAAAAGCCAAAAAAAAAGAAAATGGGGCCAGAGTGATGTACAGCAAATGAGAAACTTGCTTTGCATGCAGCCGACCTGGGTTCAATCCCTGGCACCATCTATGGTCCCCCTGAGCCCCACCAGGAGTGATCCGTGAGCACAGAGCCAGGAGTAAATCTTGTGCACAGTTAGGTGTGGCCTCCCTTCAAGAACAACAAAAATTAGGAGGAATTTGCACCCAGTCAAGCTTTGGGATTCTACCGAGCACAGCCTTCTCCACCATAAAGGGCACCCGCAGTCTCCTGTGCCCTCCGTTTCAGGGCCAAGGTGGCACAGAGGTCGGGCAGTCTTACCCGGAAGCCTGCTCTGACTTCTGCGGTTTGTCTTGTAGAGATTTCCTAACCTGAAAACTCAGAGGGGGGCCAGAACAATAATACGGCAGGCAGGACGTTTGTCTTGCGGTGGCTGACACGGGTTTGATCCCTGGCACCCTGTATGGTCCCCCAAGGACCACTAGGAGTGATTCCTGAGCACAGAACCAAGAGAATCCCTGTGCACTGCGGGTGTGACCCCAAAACCAGGAAAAAAGAAAACCCTCAGAAGGTGGGTCAGAGCTAAGCAGAGGCCTGGCCCGTGGGAAGGCCGGGTGAGAGCCCCGTGCACTGTGGTCCCCCGAGCACACCCCGAAGCCCCTGAGCACCCCCAGCTGTGATCTGGAAACTAAAAGACCCAGAGGGCAATTAAAGGGTAAATGCATTTGTTTGCCATCTAAGAATTGCAATTTGGGGTGTCCGGTTGGAGCTAGGAAATGTGAAATACATCCCGAGGCCTCGAGCCAGGGCAGGCTCAAGGGAAGAAAAGAGTTGGTTCTGGGAGGAGAGTGAGTGATTTTTGGCTCTTGGCCACATCTGGCAGTGCTCAGGACTTCCTTCTGGCTCTGTGCTTGGGGTTCACTGTGGCAGAGCTCAGGCGAACTAGGTCTCACCTGGAACTGGGCTAACATACGCAGGGCAGGGGCCTTATCCCATACTGAGCGTTGGGCCCTATTACTCTGCAGCTACTTCGGCTCACGGTTCCCGGCTCTTCAGACAGGACGGAAGGGCCAATCTTACCCTCTTGCTAACAGCCTTCCCAGTTCTCACAGTTATTTGCTTGGTGGCTTCTTCAAACAGTTGCTTTTGGCCCAGTCTAAAGGTCTCTGGCTAATAAGAGATAAGGGCCAGGAGGATTGCTCCACGGCTTGGAATCTGGCCTCACATGCTGGGGGAAAAGGCAGCTGGGGTAGAGAAGGGACCACTAAGTGAATGATGCTTGGGGGGCTCACTTGGGACGGGTGATGTGTGCTGAAAGTAGACTATGGACCAAACATGATGGCCACTCAGTGCCTGTATTGTGAAGGAGAGAGAGAGAGAGTAAAAGGGAATGTGCCTGCCACAGAGGCGGGAGGGGGGGTGGAGGGAGGGGAAGGATGGGATGGGGGGTGGAGGGAGGGATACTGGGAACATTGGTGGTGGAGAATGGGCACTGGTGGAGTGGTGGAGGGATGGGTACTTGATCATTGTATGACTGAAACATAATCACGAAGGTTTGTAAGTCTGTAACTATCTCACAGTGATTCATTTAAAAATATTAAAAAATAAAACCATACTACTAAAAAAATTTAAAAAATAAAAAAGGCCTAGTTCCACCTCCCCTGCCCCGCCTCCAAGTTTAAAATGGTTGCAAGGGCCTGAGCCCTAGTACAGGGGGTAGGGCACTTGCCTGGCATGTGCCCGGTTCGATCCCTGAGCACAGAGCCAGGAGTAAGCCCCGAGCACAGCTGGGTGCAGTGGCCCCCAAACCAAAAGAAAAATAAAACACCACCAAAAGACCCCCCAAACAAACAAAGCGGCTCCGCGGCTGCCCCTTTTCCCGGGAGGCGGGTGCTCGCACAGCTGCCCCGGGCTTGGTTTCTGCTCAACCCCAGGAGGAGGGAGGAGGGAGGAGGGAGGAGGGAGGAGGGAGGCGGGCGGGGCCGCTGCGTCAGCTGCTCCCGGGCGGCTGAACAGGCCGTTCTGGGAACTGAGGAACGGGCGCCGGGCGGGCGGGGCGGTGGGCCCTTGAAGCGCTGCCCGCCTGGGTCCGTCCTCACCCCGAGCCAGCTGGGCGCTCCGTGTCCAGACAGGACAGAAGCCACCAGAAGGAAAGCAGGAGGGAGAGGAGGGCGCGAAGGCTCATACCAAGGCCAGGTCAAGGGCGCGCCCAGGGCGGCTGCCAACCGTCGGGCGCTTCCCTCCCCCCTCCCCACGCCGGCGATGCCCTTTGAGGCCGGGCCAGAACTGCACAGTCATGCGAGTTGGCTGAGTCCCCCTGCCCTCCAGGGCCCAGGGCACGCCCACCCCCCCAGCCCCCAGCTCCACGCCCAGGGTGCACCCCAGCCCCCAGCTCCTGGCCCAGGGCCCCTCCCCCCCCAGCTCCAGGCCTGGGCACGCCCCTACCCCCTAGCTCCAGGCCCAGGGGACGCCCAAGACCCCCAGCTCCTGGCTGACACAGCCCAGGTTCCCACCAGCGTTGCCCCTCTGAGGGGCCCCACTCCCCCAGTGGCCTCCTGCCAACTCCCCTACCCCAAGCCCCCCAGGGTGTCTGTCCTGCTGGGTCTCCACACCCCACAGGCCCGCATGAGGGCAGCCACCGAAAAGGCCCTTCTGTGCCCGTGAATCCATGCCTCTGGGCCCCAAGGAAGGAAGGAAATGAGCCCCACAAACTTGGAAGACCAAGAGTGGGGGGCCTCAGGTTAGGAGCCCGGGAGAGTGACTGGCACCCTAAGGGCACAGAGCTCCGGGCAGGGCTGAGGGGACCCTAGAAGGGTTCGGGGGGTGCAGACCTCCCAGACCTGATTTACTGGGCAAAGGAGGGGACAGGTAGGGATATTGGGGGGCTTTCATGCACTCCACTGCCTTCCCTGGGTCACAGGATTGGGGGTCCCCGGGCAGGTCCAGTTGCACCCCTGCCCCTGGCCAGGGCGTCAGGAACAAGTGTGACAGTCCCTGCCCTTGACCCTGGGGCCTCCCACTGGGCCCTCCTGGGCCGGGGCCACACTTGCACTTCGTCCTGCCAGTGCCCTCACAGACTCCACTCCCAAGTGCTCCTCAGAGCACCTGTCCCTCCCTGGCACAGAGAGGCCACGGGACAAGGAGGACGCATGAGGCCTGCTGCTGCCAATGGAGCTAATCCGGGTTCTGGGGCCCCACCCTATGGCCTGTGCCCAACCCCACCCGCAGGGCACGCTGGTGCCAGCTCCGGGACCAGAGTCCACATGGCCTCCCTTGTGACTGCCCTGCCCCCCCACCCCTCCCTAGGGCACTGCCTCTGCCCCTGGGAATGTCCTGCTCCGAGGGGCAGCCAAAACCCTTTGGGCACCCCCCACCCACTACTGACCTTGACCTTGAGGTGGCCTTTGTCACCGCCTGGTAAGTCACACCACCCTCTCCCACGGGGACAGGGAGTCCCGGACACGAGCTGGGCGGCCAGCAGCCTCCTCCTTAGCGTGGTCAGGGGCGCGGTGGTGCTGAGACCCCCCCAACAGCTGGGAAGGGGGTACAGGGCCGCGGGGCCCCAGGGGCGGGGAGAGGCAAGGCCTGTGCCCACCCTCCTGCCGGCTCCCCAGAGAGCCCTAGTTTGAAGGCTTGGACTCCGGTAGTTTCCCTCTGGAAAATCTCGGCCCCTTCAGCAGGTGGGGAGCAGGATGGGGGGTAGGGATCCCCCACTGTGGGGTGCAGGAAGTGGGATGCTGCCCAAGGTGGGAGGGGCTGCAGCTCCAGACCAGGGAGGTTCCGGCCACGCGGCTCCACGTGGTTCCAGGTCGCTTCTAAGGCTGAGCTGGAGGAACTGGCGGGCACAGCTGCCCCCTGCCGGCCACGGCGAGAGCGACACCCTCCCACCAGTTTCCACCAGCGGCCGGGAGCAGCCAGTTCCCCCCACCAGACTGGCAGTTTCAAAACTGCCTTGCACGCGGCCCACCAGGGTTCAATCCCTGGCAACTCATATGGTCCCCGGAGTCCGCCAGGAGTGACCCCGAAGTGCAGAGCCAGGGGTAAGCCTCGAGCCACATCAGGAGTGGTTCCCAAACCGAAAGACCAAATTGTGATCCAGATGCACTGAGGCCGCCAGCACCACTGCATGCAGGTTCTGGTGACTTAAGGCCATCGGCCCACCCTGAGTCTAGGACTGATCAGGGCTATGACCAGGCTACAGAGTGGCTCCTTGGGCCTGGGATGTAGCTCAGCAGTAACATTTACACTGTGAGGCCCTGGGTTGGATCCCTGAACCGCCCCCCGTCCTCCCCCACTGCCCCGACCACCACCACCACACACACACACACACACACACACACACTCTGCTTCCTGTCCAGGAGGAAGGGCAGCAGTGAGGACTTGCACTGAGGTCCACACTCCTCCTGGCTTGGGCTGTCAGTCCCCATAAGGCTCCAGGTCAGTCAGGCTGTGCTTGGCACTGCACCCGGCCCTGGTGCCTTCTCACTTTGTGATCTTTCTCCTGTCAGCCCTCTCCTCCAGGAAGCCTTCTGTGATCACTCATCCTGCTCCTCCCTACCCCATGTCTGTGCCCTTGGTCTTGGCTGAGTGTGGCTTCAAGGACACATGTGTGCAGACTTATTTTCCTGGGCATTTACATTCCCGCTTCCCCTAGTGTCGTCTGAAAAGCCTTTTGGTTTCTGAGCTGACACCCTCTTGGGCCACTGTCACTTCCCTGGCACTCTGGTCCCTTTTTCTGGGGAGGGGGTCTTGAGTTCCTACATCCAGCTCAGTGCTTAAGGGTCATTTGTGGCAGTGCTCAGGGGGTCATACAGTGCCAGGGACCGAACCTGGGGCTCCTGCCTGCCAGCGCACGACAGCCCTTGGAGCCACCTCCAAGCCCCCACACTCTGCAGGCCAGAGACCCCCAGTGTCCTGTCCTGGGGCCAAAGCCCTTGAGTCCAGCCAGGTCTCAGGGATCATGGGGTGAGGAGCTCCCCGTCCCCCAATGGCACGCTGGTATCCCACAAGTCCCCTGTCATCACACCCCCAAGCTCCAAACAGCACCAGCCCACAGAGCCCAGCCTGGGCGACGCTGTGTAGCGTCATGCAGTGCGGGGCACCTTCCTTACCCACGCTCGACTCAAATTCAACCCCCAGCTCCCCATGTGGTCCTGAGCGCCACCAGGAGTGACCAGAGCACAGAGCCCAGTAAGGCCTGAGTTCCACCAGGCGTGGCCCACTCCAAGAAAAAAAAAAAAGCTGCTGGGAAAGGATTTTATTAGGAAGTCACATGATACAAGAGTGAGTGTGTACAAAGAAAGTGACACTGCTTGTCCGGAGGGCACAGACTCACAGTGAAGGCACCAGGAGGCTGAAGGATGGAAAAGGAAGAGCAAAACCACCGATGCAGTGCGCGCGCACACACACACACACACACACACACGCACACAACCATACACTCATAAGCACATACTCATACAGAACTGTGCACACGAGCACACACATGCCCACCCAACCATACGCATTTGAGCACATACACACACGTGCCAGTGTCCTCGAGCAGGGCGTCTGGAGGAAGGGGACACCTACTCATGAGGACCAACAGCAGAGCCTAAGCCAAGCCAGGCACGTGGCCGGGCACCTCCCCAGCCCTGCGCCTGCCCGGTGCTGAGCTGGGCCTCCTTCCTGTGGGAAGTTCCAGAACTCTGAGGGAGGAGCCCCAGGGCTGTGCAGGCCCTCCCCTGGCAGCCAGTGGCCAGCACAGCCCCAAGGCCAGGCACGGGGCAGCAGAGTCCAGGAGCGGGCACAGGACCCAAGCGTTACAGGACCAAAGGGGATGGGGAAAAAGGCCCAACGGGAAGTGGGCACGTGGTCCGGGCTGTGCCAGGGGCTGCCACCCTCCCTGCTGGCACCAGTGGCTGTGAAGGGGCACTTCTGGTGTCACCTGCCCGCAGATCCCCGGGGGCTGGCCCGCCAGCACCATCCACGGTGGGCTGTGGCGGGGCAAGGGGGCGTCTCCATTCCGGTTCCTGTGAAAGATGCAGGAGCCTTGTCCCCCAGGGCCCTGCCCCGCCTGGCTACAGGGCGCCAGTTGAGTCCAGCTACAGAGTCCAGCAGTTGAGGCTTAACAGGAGACAGGGACAGCACAGCCTGTCCTCGGGCTGCCCTCAGAGCAGGGACATGAGCCCAGGAGGCGGGGGGAGAGCCCGGTCCCCGCGGGGGCCGACCCGGAGTCACTCCTCACGCCGTGTCGGGTCGCCGCTCAGCCCTGCTCGGCGCCGTCGGCCGGCTGCACCACGCTGTAACTGCCCTGGCCCAGCGAGAACTGCCTGCTGAAGAAGGACGTGGTGCGTTTCGGCTTCACCCGCTTCAAGTTTTCCCCTGCGGAACACAAAGGCATGAGGACACGGTCCGGGCGCCCACTCCCTCGGCTCCGTCACCCCAAGCCTCCTCCACGCGCTGAGCCTCAGAGCTGCACCCCCACTCTGACAGGAAGGTGGAGTGTGTGGCCGGCCTCCAAACTGGGTCACATAGGGGCTGGAGCGATAGCACAGCGGGGAGGGCGTTTGCCTTGCACGCGGCCGCCTGGGGTTTGATTCCCAGCATCCCATATAATCCCCCGAGCACCATCAGGAGTAATTCCTGAGTGCAGAGCCAGGAGTAACCCCTAAGCATCACTGGGTGTGACCCAAAAAGAAAAAAAAAAAAAACTGGGTCACGTCGGGGCACAGAAATGGTGCTGACTGGGGTGTCTGAGAAGGTCCAGCGTGGCTAGAGGCAGTAGTGGCCAGCAGGCCTCAGAAAGGGCGCGACTCCCCAGCACCGTCCATAGCCAGCACCTGCAGGGAGACTAACATGGTGGCTGAAATGCTCCGAGCCTCCTCTGGTGCGCCCCCAAATTGTGGACACGTATGTGAGCATACGCATGCATACACACGAATGCACAGGAGTGATGCACTCCGCTGCCAGCAGGGGGCACTCACCCTCCTCCACGTAGTCGATGGTGGCCAGGTGCTGGAGCCGGCTGCACACCACACTGCCCTGCCTGCGCAGTGGGGGGCGCGGGGGGCCCGTGGGCAGGGAGGCTGGGGCTGCGGCGGGGTCAGCCCCGCCATCCGGGGGGGCCGCGGGCTCATTGGCCTGGTTCAGGTCGATGCAGTACTCGATGAGGCTGCTCATCAGCTCCGCCTGCGGGGAGAGGAGGGCTGGAGTGAGGCTGCGGGGGGCCAGCAATGGGGGGGCCGTGGGGGCAGGGGGCGCAGCAATGGGGGAGCAGGAGGCCCAGCAGTCCAGCCAGGTGATGTGTGGTGCTGGGAATCAAACCCGGGTCTCCTACGTGCAAAGCTGTGCTCAGCCTTCTGACTTGTCCGTCAGGAGATTCTGGGGAGTTTTAGGTTTTGAGTTTGGGTTTTTTTTTTTTTCCTTTTTGTGTCACACCCGACAAAGCTCAGGGGCTACTCCTGGCTCTGTACTCAGGAGTTACTCCTGGCGGTGCTCAGGGGACCATGTGGGATGCTGGGAATAGAACCAGGGTCAGCCGCGTACAAGGCAAACGCCCTACCCGCTGTGCTATCTCTTCAGTCCCTTGAGTTTGGTTTTAAGTTTCGGGGCCACTGCTGTTGCCTGGACTCCTAAGTGAAGTGCTCCACGCTTCCAGCTTATTTGCTCAGCCACAGCTGGAGGCTCCCAGGAAACTGTGAGGTGCTGGGGATCAAACTTAGGCCCTGAGCTCAGCTGGGCTAACTCGGGTTCCTGTTTCAGTTGATAGTGATGCTTATGCCTTTGCTTTGTTGTCATTATTGCTTTGAGTTTTCTTTAAAAAAGCAATTACCACAGCGGGTAGGGCATTTGCCTTGCACACGCCTGACCCGGGTTCGATTCCCAGCATCCCATATGGTCCCCTGAGCGCTGCCGGGAGTAATTCCTGAGTGCATAAACCAGAAGTAATCCCTGTGCATCGCTGGGTGTGACCCAAAAAGCAAAAAAAAAAAACACAGGGGCTGGAGCGATAGCACAGCGGGTAGGGCATTTGCCTTACACTAGGCCGACCTGGGTTCGAGTCCCAGCATCTCATAGGGTCACCTGAGCACCATCAGGAGTAATTCCTGAGTGCAGAGCCAGGAGTAACCCTGAGCATTGCTGGGTGTGATCCAAAAAGCAAAAAAAAAAAAAAAAAAAAAAAAATAATAATAATAATAATAATAATAATAATAAAAATACAAAGTTCTGAGACACACCTGGCAGTGCTCAGGGGAACTGCATGGTGGCAGGGATGGCCACCAGGTCACCAGCACGCAGAGCCCACGGTCAGCCCTGGGCCACCTCCCTGGCCTACCCCACGTGCTTGCCACCTAACAGCATTTGACGTGGAGTGACACGAGCGGCAGGCACGGTGCTGGGGCACCGCTGTCGAGGACAGCAGGGACAAACAGGGGCAGGGCAGGTAGACCACCTGCTGTGCTCCTGGTGGTCGGGCCTGTCCGCCCAGAGGACACAAGGCCTCGTCCCAGCCACAAACCCCGGGGAGGAGAACCCGCAGAGGCCCAGGGCTAGAGTCCTCAGCTCCGGAAGGCACAGCGGTGGGGTAGGGGCCCACAGTGAACCCTGAGCACTGTCAGCTTGCCCCCCCCAAACTAAAACCAAACAGAAACCTAGAACTCCCCGGACCTCCTGCGGGATGGCTCAGAGGGCTGAGCGCAGCTTTGCACGCAGGAGACGCGGGTTCAATTGCCAGCACCACACGATCCCACACAGCCTGGAGTGACCCCAGAGCACAGAACCGGGAGTAGCCTATAACCAACCCCGAGTGTGGCCCCAAAACCAAGACCAAGGCCACAAATCTTAGGTCGTCAGAAACGAAAGGCACCGTACCCCGATACCATGTTCAAGGGGCTTGAGACTGCTCTGGCTAGGGGAGGAGGAGCTGCCCACGGCCCCTCACAACTACTCACGGCCCCTCACAGCTGCCCATGGCCCCTCACATACCTACACACAGCCCTTCACATGCCTGATCACAGTTCCCCACACATCTGCTCACAGTTCCTCACACACCCACTCACAGTTCCTCACACACCTTTGGGCCCGGGCAGGGAGCAGCACCAGGCTGGAGAGAAAAGGCAAATTCTGACCTGACGTGCAGACACTGTGACTGTCACCAGAGAACGTCCCTAAGAACTGGCAAACAAACAGGCCGGAGAGACAGTGCAGCAGGTAGGACGTCTGCTTTGCACAAAGCTGACCCAGTTTCAATCCCCGGCATCCCATAAGGAGTAATTCCTCAGTGCAGTCAGGAGTAACCCTTGAGCATCACCCGGTATGCACCACCCCCCCAAAAAAAAAACTAGCAAAGACACTACAAGAACTAGTGAGTTGATGGTTGTAGGATGGGAGACGTCAACCACGGGGCCACAGAGTGAGCTCAATGGTCTGAGCACAGGCCACACAGGACACCCGGTTCAGTCACCAGAACCACCTGGTCTCCAAACACTGCCAAGAGCAACCGCTGAGCACAGAAGAAGAGTAGCCCCTGAGCAGGTGGGTGTGGCCCCAACAAGGAACTAGTACCTTTCACAGGAGTACCCCCAAAAGGGAGAAGAGAAAAGACAAAGCCTTAGAAATAAACCGATCTTTCGAAAAATCCAAGATGTTGGGGCCAGAGCGACAGTACAATGGGGAGGGCTTTTTCCCTGCACTCAGCTGACGTGGGTTCGATCCCTGGCATCCCATATGGTCCCCCGAGCACTGCCAGGAGTGATTCCTGAGTGCAGAGCGAGGAGTAACCACTGAGCATCACCGGTGTGACCCAAAAAAGCTAAGACAACTGTAGCACTGTAGCACTGTCCTCCCGTTGTTCATCGATTTGCTCGAGCGGGCCCAGTAACGTCTCCATTGTGAGACTTGTTGTTACTGTGTTTGGCATATCGAATATTTCACGGGGAGCTTGCCAGGCTTTGCCGTGTGGTCGAGATACTCTCGGTAGCTTGCTGGGCAGCGGGCAACAACAAAAAACCCTCACGTGCGTGTGTGTGTGTGTGTTAGTATCTAAAAATAGCGAAAAAAAAAATCAGGAGTGAGAGAGATGGATCACCAGGACCGATCTCCGGCCCACAGAGGGGTCCCACAGCAGCAAGTGTGGTAGAGCCCCCAAACCACACCCTCCCCAAGCAGGGAAGGAAGTCACACACGTGGCAGCACACGGGTCAACAGAGCCGGAAGGCTTCACATTCAAGTCAGGCGGGCAACAGGCAACGGTGAGCTTGGCACGCGCCAGCAGCCCCTCCTGGTGTTTAGGAGAAACAGAACATATACCCACATGTATGTTTGCAAGACATATGCCCACACATATGTTTATGAGACAGGACATATGCCCACACGTATGTTTGTGAGAGATAAGACATATGCCCACACATGCTTGTATGAGACAAAACAGGCCTGTTTATGAAAGCCTGGAGCCGCGTAAGTCAGAAAGTTCTGATACTGGAAGCGACACCCCCACCCCCCTCCACAGACGGGCAGGAGCGAGACCCCAAGCCTGAAGACCAGGCAGGGTGGGTCACCTCATCATCTCTGCATGGTCGTGGAACCAAGGGGCTCAGGCCTTGCTTACTTGAGGTCCTGGGTTTGATCCCCAACACTCCCCGGCCCTGAACACGCGCTAAACAGATGACATTAGGGAAGGCACCAGCAATGCATGTGGCTCATCCCGGGGCAATTCCCGGTCCCACCCAGGGTCCCCTGAGCACAGCTGCAAACACACCCTGAGCACTTCCAGGCTGCCCCTCCCCCCCAAACCAAAACAGAAACTAGAGAGAGAGGACGGCAGGGAGGACACCTGCCTTACACGGGGCGACCCTGGTTCGATCTCCAGACCCGAACAACCTCTGAGCACTGCTGGGCTTGGCCCGAAACGGAGTCGGGCAGACCTATGAGATGAGGCCACCCCTGTGTGAGTGTGTGTTGGGGGGGTGTGCCCAAGCACTGCTGGGCCATAATGATCTGATGTCCCCCCAGCACTTCCAGGTCTGTCCCCTTAATCTGCCAACAAAGCCCAAGGGAAAACTAGAAGATTCAGATGGGGGGAGAGTTAACCCACCCCGGGGGCTCTGTCTCGTTGAAAGGGAAATATCAACTGAACCCCAAAGGTGCTCGGGGCGGTGGGATGCGGGCGAGGATCTGAACAGAGGCGCCACCTCGGGACAGACGAGGGCCCGGGAGTGACTCTTTGCCTGCCAGTGGTGCCCCCAGCACGGCTTGTCCTGGCTGAAAGCTCAGGAGCAGGGCCCAGAGGCCGCGTGCCTTGTGCACGGCCGACCCGGTTCCATCCCGGCACTTTATACGGTCTCCAAGCATCACCAGGATCCCTGAGCACAGAGCTGGGAATAAGCCCTGAGAACCGCCTGGTGTGCCCCCCACACCAACCAAAAAACCCCTCACAATTATGGTCAGAGAGTGCAGCGGGGAAGGCGCCTGCCTTGCACACAGCAGATCTGGGTTCGAGCCCGAGCACCCCACACGCTGCCAGTAGGAACCCTGAGCACAGAGCCAGGAAGAGCTTCCAAGCACACGTGGGGCCAAAATAAGAAATCAAAAGCCCAACAGCTCCCTGCTAAGAGGGGCCGTTCTGACATGCACAAGGACCATGCAGGCACTACAGGTGGCCGGATGCAACCCCGGCCCTGCGGGGTCCCCAACAGTGCTGGGAGCCAGCCCTGAGCAATGAGAGGTGGGGGGCAGACAGGTCCAAAGCCAGGAAAAGCCCCCTGATGAGGGAGGGCCAGGGTCCCCACTTCGCTTTTACACCAGGAAGGCACCCTGTAGGCTTGTTCAGGGCTGGGCCAGATCCCTGAGCTGTCCACCCGGAGTTGGGTCCTTTCCTGGACGCCGAGTCCAGAGACAGACCAGAAGCAGCCAAGGGCTATGAGGGAGGAAGCCCAGGGCAAGCCCAGGGTCTCCGGTGACCCTGCACACGGCGGCCACCCACAGGGGCAACCCCACTAGGCCTTCCCAGCACGCCAGCTGGCTGGGCCACCCCCCTCACCCCCACCGTGGGTACGATATCCGCCGCTACCTGCTTGGAGTAGACCTTGAGAAGCCTGTTGACGGGGGTGCCCTCGCTGTCCCCATCAAACTCCAGCCAGAGGACGGCCTCCTCGTCATCAGGGGATGTGTGATCCCAGGACAGTTCCTGGAAGCGCAGGCCCAGGAGCACGTGCTAGGAGGAGACAGGGGAGCCTGCAGCCGGGCCGCTGGGATGCAGGGCGCCCGGGCCAGTGACAGGCATCCCAAAGAGAGGGCAGCGCCGCATGTGACCCGCAGCGCCTCACGGGAACTAGGAGGTCACGGGAGATGGGGTCGTGGGAGGTCCTTGGAGCTGGGAGGTCACAGGAAGCTGGGCACACTCGCCTTGCACATGGCTGACCCCAGCCCCGGCCCCATTCGTCCCCTGCACCCCACCAGGAATGCCCCGAGTGGCCCCTAAACCAATCAACAAACCAACCACAGGTGGGGAGGGGCAACCTGTTCAGTGAGATCGGAGTCACCCCGAATTCCGCTGCCCTCAGGGAGGTTCTCACTAGAGGGTGAAGCAGCTGCCCCCAGAGCGGACAGGCAAGATGCAGCCCAGGAGGGTGATCCCCCACAGAACTTTCCAGAAAACTCCTGGCCAGGCTGGCCACCACCAGATTCCTCCACTCAGGAGCACTGGGCAATGTCAGGAGCCCTGCTGGGCTCCTAGGGGGTTGTGGGGGGGGTCCCAGGGATGGAGGGACACAGACGGGGAGCCGCCGGAGGTACCTTCTCCCGGCTGTCGATGACATGCACGCCGTCCAGACTGATGGCCACGGTCACCGGCTTCCGGCCGCCGCGCTGCAGGAAGTTCTGGGCCGGCTTGTCGACCTCACCGTGAAAGAAGGCACACCTGGGGGTGGACAGGGTCAGCCACGACAGGGCCGGGCTGGTGGCCTCGGGACCCCATCCAGCTGCCCCCCAATCCCCCCACACCCCAACCCCAGCTGAGTTCCAGCACAAGCCCCCGGCCGGCATGGCCCGCTCCCATTCACTGCCCCGTCCCCACTGCGAGGGCTGGCCACAGGACCGGGAGCAACGAGCCCAGTCTAGGCATCCCCGCGCCTGGGAGGCTTTGTGACGACGCGCCCTGGACCCTGGAACTCGGCTGGGGCAAGGCAAGGCTCCTGCCTGGGCCCGCTCACCCGTAGAAGGGCAGCTCGTGGCACTTGAGCAGGTAGGCACGGTGGTGGGCGCTGAGACAGGCCTCGGGTGCACTGCCCGGTGTGTCCTGCACCTGGCGGTAGGCGTCCAGCAGCCCCTGCTCGCCCGGTACCGTCTTGGCCCCGCGGCCCCGGAGGGCGGCGAACAGCCCGTGGCCGCGCTTGCAGAGGTGGGCAGGGAGGAAGGAGTCCAGCTTCTCCCTGCCAGGGAGGGAGAAGGGCTCTAGGCTCAACCCCCCAGACTGGAAGAGACTCCCATGTCCCCACCGCAGTGAGCACCATGTCCCCCAGGCCGCCCCAGTGACTCCTGCAGCTCCCCCATGGCAGAAAGGCCCTTGGGAATGTCTCAGGACTGTGTCCCCCCACCCCCGCCGCGCCCCGGACCCAGAGGCCAGATGCAGGGCGCCCTCGGGTCCAGGTCGGGGCTGTCCTCAGTCCTCCCGCGGCACGGGAGGGGCCGGACTGACGGCTCTTTCCTTGGAATTCTCTCGAAGCCTCAGTTTTGGCAGCGTCCGAGGTCAACACCCCGCTGGCCAGTATCCGGGGACAAACAATCCTCTCGGCAGAAGGCGCCGTGGGGGCTCCTCCCAGTCTTCAGCCGTCACTGGTGGCATGTGGCGCCCCCCCCCAGGATAAGCTCAGACCTCTCGCCCCACACGGCCGGGGTCCAGGGTTCCCTGGGGCGCTGCCCACCTCAGGGCGCCGGGCGCGGGCTGGCCGGGCCGGTAGGGGCCGAGCTGCAGGCGGCAGAGAAGCGCCCCCAGTGCCTCGCAGTCCTCAGGGTCGCAGGGGTACCGCGCCGACAGCACGTTGCCCTTGGCCTCCTCGAAGAGCAGCCGCAGCGCCTCCTCGTCCTGCAGCTGGGGGGGTGGGGGGTGAGGAGGGGGCTCAGGCCGGGCAGGGGGGCTGCCGAGGCGCAGAGCATGCGGGACCACCTACCTGCAGTTCCCGGCGCTTGGGGAAGAACACGTTCCTCCGAAACTGCAGGGACGGCTCATCTGCGGGGACGGGACAGGGCGGGGTGGGGGGGGGAGGGTGTCACTGCCTATATGCGCAGAGTGGGACGCATGGCGAGGCTGCATGAGCCCACTGCCCCCCGGAGCCCCGAGGGTCCCCCACAGCAGCTCCACCAGCTCACAGGCTGGGGGAAAGAGGGGGGTCCCACCATCCACGGGGACATGGGGGGTGTCCCCCTCACCCAGGGCAGTCCCCACTCACCCATGGCCACCTCGTCGTCTGGGGCATCAGTGAAGCGGAGCAAGAGCTCCGGCCACTGGCGGCCCAGCTTGTAGGGCTGGTGTCGGGGCTTCAGCTGCACCTCTGTGGGGAGAATTGGAGGGGCTGCACCCAGACTGCACCCCGAGTGCCCACCTTCCCAGGGTCCACTGGGTGGCTGGGGACAGAGGCGGGCTAAGGGCCAAAGACTCGCCGCCCACAGCCCAGGGTGTCCAGTAGGCAGCCCCCACTGTGGTGCTAGCAGCCCAGTCCCCCAGGCCTAGGCCCCTAGGACCCGAATTTTCACACGGGCCCATCTCAGGTTGGGGTCACCTTCCTATCCTGCATCCAGCAATGGTGCTACCACCAGGTTGCCCTTGCGGGGGGCCCCACAGGATGGCACCTGCACCCCCATCAGGCAGAGCTGCTGCGTGGACCAGGGTCCACCCTGATGGGCCGAGGCAAAGCCCAGCCAGGCTGGAGCAAGGCCAGCTGGATCTCACCCTCCTGCCCGACACTGGCTGCGGGGACCCCCCCCCCCCCAACAGAGCTCCCGGGGCAAGGCGTGACGGCATCTGCCAGGTACAACATGGGAGGGAAGCCCCCAGGACCCCCGGTGACCCCATTACTGCCCCCATATCCCACCCGCTGGTGCCTGGGCCTGTCTATCTGAGCCCCACACAGCAGTCACTGCTCAGTTCGGCCTGGGGGATTCTTAGGGGTCACTCCTGGGGGACTTGGGGAGACCATCGGGGCCTGCGAGCAAAGCGCCCATTCAGCCCGAGGTCTCGGGCCTCTGACCCTCAGTTCCGGATCCTCAGCCAAGCCACCTGCCCCCAAGGAGGGGCTGTCTCCTGCCCCAGTGTCCTCTCCCACCCCCAGGATCCCCCTCACACCCCAGCATCCCCCCCCAGCCCTACCTCATGCCCCCACCTGCCAGCACCCCTGGGTCGGGGTCCTCAGGGACCACCCAGGCAGCCAGCGCCGGGCGCAGGAGCCTCACCCTTCACAGTGGGGAGCAAGCGAGTCCCCCAAAACAGGGTTTGCGTGCCGAGGCCCGGAGTGGAGGCTGCCCCCCACTGCGACAGCACCCCCCCTCCATCTGTCACCACCCAGCAGAGGGGCCCCTGCTGCCAGCCCCTACAGTGCCAGGAACCAGGTGGCCCAGTGCCGCGGGGCCCGAACGGCCAGCAACAGCCCCCAGAGGCCGCGCAGCAGGGCAGAGGGCACGCAGGGGACACTTCCCGGGTGCCCCTCCCTCCTCCCCACTCTGGGGCCCCCCTCTGCGGGGGTGGGTGCCGGATTCTCAGGGGCCCGAGTCACCGCCGCAGTGGCCTTGGCTGTCGGCAAGCCAGCCTGGGAACAAAGTGGGTGCTGGCCCCAGGCCGGTCCCCTCCTGGACAGGGCGGCGCCCTGGGGCCAGCGGCCACAGAGCAGCTATTCATGCTCCCGCAGCGGGGGTGGGGATGGGGGCGGGGGGGGGGGGGGTGCCGGAGTGGGAGGAAGGAAAGCTTCTCCGGACACCCAGCTGCGCTCCAGACGCAGGCGGGGGGCCCCGTCAGCACCCACAGTCTGAGCGCAGAGTGGGGACAGCTGAGCGGGGGAGCGGCAGGAAGAGGGGGCGAGAGCAGCTGGGCAGGAAGGCTCGGCCGGGGAGGACAGGCAGCTGTGCTCCCCCGACAGCCACACGGCCCAGCCCAGCCGAGGAACAGGGGAGAATGGCCTTCCGTTTTGCATTTTTTTTGGGGGGGTGGGAGGCGGGGTCACACCCAGCGGAGCTCAGGGCTGCCCCCTGGCCCTGTTCAGGGATCCCTTTCGTGGTGCTTGGGGCTCCATCCATGCTGGGGTCAAACCCCGGGTCTCACGCACGCAAGACCCGTGCGTCACCACTGAACCCTCCACTCTGCCTGTCCCGTCCTCGCTGCCCCTACTCCGCGAGGAAGGAAACCAGTGAACTTCAGGAAACTAGCCTGACCCCACCAGCAGCAACATCACCCCGAAAGGCCAGCAGACGGGAACCGTGCCCACCCCTTCCTGGCCACGTCAAGGGCAGGGCAGCAAGCGAGGAGCCCCCTGTGGGGACACCCGGATGGTTCCACTGCGGGCCCCACCTGTGGCGCACCCCCGTTCCCGCCTCTGCCACCGGCAGCCAGAAATGGGGGTGCTCGGAGCTCTGGGTGCCGGGGTCCCGCCAGCCCCCGCCCCGCCTCACCCAGCAGCGGGGAGACCAGCCAGAGCGCGAAGGCCTCCAGGGCGACGTCCGAGAGCTGCAGGGCCTCCCGCACGGCGCGGTGCAGCTCGTGGGCAGTGAGCGAGGACAGGTTCTCCACGGCCAGCGGCACTACCGTGTCATCCGCCAGGTACACCAGCACGTCTGCGACTGCAAGATGCCCGGCCGGGTCAGCTGGTGCTGCCCGCACCCAGAAACCCTCCCCCCCACCCCCACAGGACCTGCGAACAGTGCGGCCCATTAACCTCCAGAAACCCAAAACCTCTGGCCCAGGGCCCAAACCGCCACACCTCCAGATTCCAGCCAGGGCTGGCCACCCCCTCACCCCCAAACCTCCCTGGCAGCTCTGGGCCCTGCTGTGCTCCTTCAGAAGAGGAGAACATTCCACAGATAGGGCCAGGAGAGGTTCGGAGAGCAGGCAGGGGTGCGGTGGGGGCCATCTCTAACCTGGGGAGGATCATGAAGGCCTGAGTCGGGAACAGACGAGCCCTAAGGCCACCCCTGGCTGATGCAGAGACAAGCCTGAGCTCTGCAAGCCTCTGGCCTCAAAACCAGGTGCAGCCCAACTACCCCGAGGCCCAAAGGAGCATCCCACTGGGAGCCTGGAGCTCAGAATCATAAGGAGACTCTTTGAACTGGGGGTCACTGGGGCACATCAGGGTTCGTCCCAAGTGCTCTGCAGAGCAGGACTCGAACCAGACCCCTTGAGGAGCGGCAGGGAAGTTGGGGTGGGGGTGGGACAGCCCACACGGGCCTGCAGACTGGCTCATAAACAAGGCCAAGGTGCTCAGTGCCGTTCCAGAAGCCACTTTATTCTGGCTTATTCCAAGTGTGGAGGGCACCCCACACCCTGGGGTGCAGGAAGCCCCTCCCGGCGGCATTTCGGGAAGGGTGCAATGCCAGGAATGGAACCCAGACCCTGCAGGCAGAGTCTGAGCACTGGCCCAGGAGCCCACTCCCTGGCCACAGCAGCTGCTGACCCAAGAGATGGCTATCTCCAGCAGGCTGCAACCCGCCCGACTCCTTAGAGAACAACGGCGAGAGATACTTACCCTCCCCAGGGCCCGAGTTCCACCCTATAAAATGAATATAATGATGCCCGCGGTCTGTTTCACTACAACGGAACCAAGCGCAAGCGAGTCGCGGCTGGTTCAGGAGAATGGGGGGGGGGCTCAGCCCAGGGACAGAGCCTGGTCCGATGGCTTCGGTCACTTCCCCAACCCTTCAACTCCTCCCCCCCACACCCCCATGGGTTAAACACCCATCCTGAAAGAGACGAAAGCGGGTCACCTCCCCAGAGCGAGGAGGGAGGGGGAGGCGGAGGAGGAGGAGGAGGAGGAGGAGGAGGAGGAGGAGCAGCCGCCGGCGGGGAGGCGCGGGGACAGGGACCCACCTCGGTTGCCCACGGAGGACACGCTGCTCCGGTGGGACCGCTCGGCGGGGCCGGGCTGCACGGCGTTGCCTTCCGTCCGGTCCATCTGCCGCGGGAAAGAGTGCGGTTATTGGGGTTCCCGGGGGGCGAGGCTCTCACTGAGGAACTGAGGGACTGGCGACGGCGGACAACGCCGACTGGCGCATTTCCAGTGCAGATTCGCGGGGGCGGGGGCGGCCCTCGGCCGGCAGAGGTCGGGCTGCACCGAGTCCAGCCGGGCGGGGGTGAGGTCCGGGGGATGCCCCGGTGGAGCACAGGACACCCCGCTCCGGGGCAGCCCGCACCACCGTGCTCTCACCTCGCAGGAACCGAGCGCCCGTCGCTTGGCCGGGGCTTCCACCCGACTCCCACCAGCGGCACCCGGGCTCCGACCCGGGACCGAGCTCGCGCTCCAGCTCCCGGGGCTGCGACGCGGAAGCCGAAGCGGAGGAAGCGCGGCGCGGAGGCCCCGCCCCCGCAACTCAAGAAAGCCTATGGGAGCCCTGGGCCGCGCGCGGAGGCCCCGCCTCCCAGCCGCACGGGAACCAATCGGAGCCTGTGATTGCGGCTCCCGCTCCCTGGGCTGGCGCCCACGCGCTCACGCCCCTTCGAGCCGGCCCGCGCACGCGCAGGACGCCCCCGTCGGGAAGGGCGGAGCCCTTGGGGCGGGCAGCGATTTTGATTTAGCGCAAGAGCTGGTGGAGTGTCCCCGAGCAAGTGTCTGGCTTTCCACTCCACCCCCCGACCGTTGGCCTTAACAGGACGTGGCGAGCTTCCAGGAAGCTGGGGGCTTTGCGCAGGACCCCCGTCTCTAAGCCGGGCGTCTCCCCAGAGTGCAGGGCGCTGGATGGGGGCTGCTAGCACCGTCCTACTACAGCGACCCGAAAGAGCAGACGGGCCCCTCTTCTGATCCATCCCGCACAAGCCCCCTTCTGAGGAGGATGGACTCGGTCGCCCCCAGGATTCCCCCAAATCTTATGCCGGGGACCCAAGTCAGGCGCATGCGCTTGCCTGAGCGGCCGTGGACTGGAGGCATTCCCCGGCTGGGAAGACAGGCAGGTCCTGGCAATGGGCATACGTGCGTGCCTGGGGTATCGATCTCAGGAAGAAAAACAGGTCCGGGGCGCGTGCAGCGCCTCCCTGAGCCCGAGGAGCCAGTTGTGCTGCGAGACAACAATGGGCTGGGTGAGGGGAGGTGGGTAGTGGGTTCACTCTGCCCCATTCACTGGCATTACGAGCCTGCGCCAGCGCAGGGACTAAGAGGCTTTCCTTCCCCTCATCGCCTGTGGTCCCCCAAACATGGCCGGGAGTCACTCCTGGGCACGGAGCCAGGAATTGCCCCTAAGCACCGCCCGGGTGTGATGCAAACCTCCATACTGCAGAGCCGAAGCAATAGTACAGCGGTAAGGCACTTCCCTTGCACGCAGCTGACCTGGGTCTGATCCCCCGGCACCCCATATGGTGCCCCAAGCACCGCTAGAAGTGATCCCTGAGCGCAGAGCCAGGAGTAGTAACCCCTGAACCGCTGAGTGTGACCCCAAAAGTAAAAAAAAAAAAACCTTTTTTTTTCTTTTTTTTGCTCTTTGGATCACACCCAGTGATGCTCTGGGGATTACTCCTGGCTTTGCACTCAGGAATTACTCCTGGCAGTGCTCGGGGGACCATATGGGATGCTGGGAATCGAACCCAGGTCAGCCACGTGCAAGGCAAATGCCCTACCTGCTGTGCTATTGCTCCAGCCCCAATAAAAAAAAAACTAATGTATATAAATAAATAGCATGTTTTTTAAAAAACACACCCAGCCAGGAGTAGCACCCCTTCCCCAGTACCACCAGTTGGAGCCACAAAGGAAGCCCTATAATTTCATATGTAATTTCAAACAGCTGTCCCCCTGCACCCCAGGGTCCCCCTCACCCCCTCCTCATGCCACCACTCATCCTCTTCAGCCTCTTCTTTGCTCACGGACCTGTGATGGGAGCTGGGGACAGGCATCTCCCCCCAATTCTCAGGGAGTTACTTTTTTTTTTTTACTTTTTTTATTTGACTTTTTAAAAAATTTTCTTCTTATATTTATTTATTGAATCACTGTGGGAAAAGTTACAAAGCTTCAGGTTTAAGTCTCAGTCATACAATGATCAAACACGTCTCCCTTAACCAGTACTCATTTTTCACCACCAAGAACCCCAATATACCCCCCTCTCCCAATGCCTGTGAGGCAGATGGTTTCCACTTAACTCTTCTCTACATTGATTACATTCATTATTTCGACAAAAGATGCACCATTATTGTTTAGAATTCCCCACCCCCCAACAATCAGAATTGCTGAAAAGGTATTGTGAAATACTTTGTTCTCTATAGCTGGTTATGAGAATTATATAATCTCGCGTGGCTGCAATAGCAGGCTCGTGATTTTGGATTTCTGCAAAGAGCCAGATAATTACGAGATTGGTTTCTGTGTGTCTGGTGTTATGGCTGTGCCGGTGAGCTGCTCATGGGGGGCAACTCGTGACCTTGGTAGGGTGTGAAGGACGAGCCGGTACTGCCCCCCTTCCCATGAGACTGCAGTTGCCCCCGGCACTGCCAGTCTCAGGGACTTTTAGCCCTGAGTGACTCCCTGCACCAGCTGGTGAGAGCTGGAGGCCAGACAGGTGTTAAAGAGGCAGCGGGCACGGGGTCTGGACTAGACCAGGAGGCAGAGCCTGCACTCACTCAGCCCTGCCCTCTGGAAGCTTCGATTCTGGTTTCACCATGCGGACATGAGAGTTGGGAGGAGAAAGAAGCAAGGGGATAGAACTGCTTACAGCAGCGTGGGGCGGAGCAGTGGGTCGGCTGCGCCTGCCTGGCATGACTCTTGTCTAACCATAACGAGCTGAGATGGGCCCCGAAGCTCAGCTAACAGGGTTGGCACCCAGGATGGCAACTGGATGCTGCCTCTGCCTGAAAGCAGGAGCGGAGAGAACCCAGAACTGGCTGTGTCTTCATATTCAAGCCGGGTGGGCAGGTGGGGGTCTGCACGGTGGGCCGGATGCGCTCTCTCGCACTTTCCTTCCCTTTCTTTGATTACTTTTGAAACTTTATTCATTGGAGCCAGAGTGATAGTACAGTGGGGAGGGCATTTGCCTTGCATGCAGCTGACCTGGGTTCAATCCCCGGCATCCCATATGGTCCCCCAAGCGCAGCCAGGAGTAATTCCTGAGTGCAGAGCCAGGAGTAACCCCTGAGCATCTCCAGGTGTGACCCAAAAAGAAAAAAAATACCCTTTATTTATTTATTTATTTTGTTGTGGGGGCCACACCTGGGGTTCCTCCTGACTCCGCACTCAGGAATTAACTCCTGACAAGGGCCTTACGCACTGTGCTGTAATCGCAGCCCATCCCCCACCCTTTCTTTAAGGTTCTTCAATATTTCTGTATTTGTTTGTGTATTTATAATTCCATTTCTGTTGCTCTTGTGATGGCTATATAAATCTGACCAAGACGCAGATTGGCACTTGGAGAGCCAAAAGGGTGGGCCTCCTGTTTCTTTTCTTTTTTCTTTCTTTTTTTTTTTTTCTTTTTGGGTCACAACACCCAGCGATGCTCAGGGGTTACTCCTGGCTCTGCCCTCAGGAATTATTCCTGGCAGTGCTTGGGGGACCCTATGGGATGCCAGGGATCGAACCCAGGTCGGCCACGTGCAAGGCAAACGCCCTACCTGCTGTGCTATCCCTCTGGCCCCAACTTCCTGTTTATTTTCACAAGCCAACTCGACCTGACCATCACCAGAAAAGAGCGCGATTCATGAAGACAACATTGCCTTTAAGGCAGACTGTTTTCTCCTCTGACATATGCAATGGTTGTGAAGAACGTCATTGTTAAAATACAATCAGCAATGAATACAACTTGTAAGTTCCATATGGACATTGACTAATTGTTTCTGTGACCCACTTTCTGCACGACCAGCCTACCTGATCAGACTTGTCCCCTCGTTGGGGCCTGAGCCACAGCACAGTGGATAGGGCACTTGCCCTATGTATAGCCAAACTGGGTTCGATTCTGGCCCCCAAGCAATACCTGAGTGATCCTTGAGAACAGAGCCAGGAGTAAGCCCTGAGCACTGCCAGGTGTGGCCCAAAAGACAAACAAACATAAAACATTAAAAAGAAACCAGACTCGCTGCCTTGCTCTGCTCTGTTTGGTGATGTCAGACCTTTCTTCTTGGCCCAACTCCTCAAATAGGCCACATAGCTGTCCTGCCTCTAGTTGTCCTACTTCGGGGCTGGAGCAATAGCACAGCGGGGAGGGCGTTTGCCTTGCACGCGGCCGACCCGGGTTCGATTCCCAGCATCCCATATGGTCCCCTGAGCACCGCCAGGGGTAATTCCTGAGCGCAGAGCCAGGAGTAACCCCTGTGCATCGCCGGGTGTGACCCAAAAAAAGCAAATAAATAAATAATTGTCCTACTTCATGATGATGGAGCTGGGGAGCACACACACCTGGCCGGGGTGCCTGTGGGGTTCACACATCAGCTGTGGTGCCCGCACCCGTGGCCAGAGCACTCACCAAGGTTTACTTCCTTTGGAGGAGGTGTTGGCTTGTGCGCTGGCCAGGGCTCACTCTCTTTCTTGAGGCCCCCCCAGTGGTGGTGGAGCTCGCCTGGAGGTCTGTGCAGTGCTCACACACATGGTCCCCAGGGGCCACACTTCCTGCCATGGTGCTCGCTCACCTTTTTGGGACATTAACAGCCACAGTTGCTTGCAGTGCTGGGAGTGGCAGTTTCTGGGATCAGGCTCGGCACATGTGGAACACCGGGGACTTGAGCTCAGGAGCGTATATACGTCTGGAGGCCGAGGCCTGTATCCATTATCCTTCACCGCCCAGGATGCCCCACCCAACCCCGCTCCAGGGAGAGGGAGTCAGGACGCCCCGTGAGAAACAGGCAGCTGTGGTCAGGGCACCCCAAGCACCCCCTTCGTCCACTTTAAAGCTCTTCGTTCCCCCTGAGAAGCGGGTCCCAGGAGGCTGTATCTGCTGTGGGACAGCGGCAGGTCGGAGTGGTCAATAGTCTGGGAACAGAGCACCAAGTCCCGGGTATTATTGCGGAGCCGGCAGGAGTTTGAGCTGGGGGCGGGACTTATGTTAGGAACCCGGTTCATCTCCAGGTGAGCTTCTGCAGACCGGGTTCATTGCAGGGTGAGGGTAGGGAGGGGGAGAGGGTTACATCAGGGGCGGGTTTTATCCCAAGTGAGGTCATGTGGGCGGGATTTATCCCAGGGGCGGGTTTTACCCCAATGTGAGTTTATGTGGGTGGGGCTTATGTCAGGGGCGGGGTTTTCTCCCGTGCGAGTGTTTGTGGGCGGGGTTATATATTTGGGGCGGGGTTATCCCTGTGAGTTTTATGTGGGCGGGGCTCCTGTCAGGGGCGCCGTTCTTCCAGGCCCCTTCTGACCCCGCCAACCCCCTGGGGACCAGGC